ATTATGTTTAATATGAGAATTTTGGACTTATGTATACTGTGGAAGAGAATTCCAAGGCGGAATGTCTCGTGTATGGTTGTGGAATTGTAAAGTATGAATATGGATATGCTAAGCTGGTGTTCATCTTGAAATTCTATGAGTATCATTCTCACATAGAGAGATATTTCATTTGTGAGAATAGTAGGAGGTCCTACAACCTCAGGGTGCCGAGGTAGGTACTATGGGATTAACCTTGGGTAGTAGCTTGATTAGTGTCAGTTACACTACCACAAGTGGTAAGGGCGACTGTAGCTACACATTCATACAATCTGGATGGTCAAGTCATAATGTTCAATTTATATATAATGAATGGTGGTGTTCGGTTTGTATGTGACTAAATGTATTATGTGTTGCATGATGTACCGTTCGTCTTTGTACGTATTGAACTTGCATGAATTGTATATATGTGTTTATAATTAAATTACGTTAGCTTACCCTACTTTCTTGTTGTCTTGTTTTGTTCGTCCGGTTATCTTTTCTTTTGCAATGATCATCCTGTGGATGTGAGCAGAAAGTGATGAGTGTTCAGTGGAACAAGCATTGGAAGGCGAGGACCCTATTGCTTAAGTTAAGACCGCTCGGTCATCGATTGTGTATAGTTTTAGATTGGATCGTTCGGTCAATAGGTTTAGTTTATCTTTTGTAAACCGGTCGGGTTATACAGACGGTTGTATCACCGTTCGGTTTATGTATGTATTTTTGTATTAGACTTATGTTGATCTGTAAAGTTTTTAGTTTTATGGTTATTTTGAATAACTGTAACGTTAAATATTTTACTAACATGAACTGATCTACCTTATTATTATATGTGATTAATCTATAATATAGTGTTATGCTATATTTTAGGGTGTTACTGCTTTCAAATTTAAAAAATTAAAATAAATTCTTAATTCAATTATGGATTCATTCCAAAAATTTTAAAGTAAACATATTTACACCTATTTTAAAAATCACCCTGCATAAAACATAAATTTTTAACATCTTTTTCTTCTTTCTAGTAAAGAAAAAAAAACACAGTACCATATTTCATCTACAAAATACTTCTATTTTTTTATAATAAAAATATAACACGATTCAAACCAATACAGTTCTAATTCGATTTATATAAATATATCCTAAACTAAAGTGCAAAACAGAACAATTAAACAAAAAAAAAAGGCAACCAGTTAGAAACATAACACTCATTATTGTTCCTGAATGATGCCAAGATCATGAAGAAACTGCTGCCAAACTCGTGTCCATGACCTGAATGAGCTTGTTGGCTATGGCACTTGCATAAACACAAGAACCGTCACACATCTGCACCACCAGAAAATCAATCATATATACTATGTTTAACACACATGCATGTATAGTTAATATTCATTTGACACAAAACCTTGGTATTGAACAGATAGCTGCAGAAATCGCCAATGTGGCCACCAGCAACATGTTGGAGATCGAGGTTGAGCTGATCAAGAACCTGTGAGACATGCACCAAGCAATCTATCTTCTTCCTCTGAACAAGCTTGATTGTCACCTCGTTGTCAACAATGCGCACATCAACCTCTGTGTCTTTGGATTTCCTTTGTATCCAAGAACTTCTTAAGCTTTCATTGTAGGAACCATCATCTGGGTCGGGATTGGAACCATCTTGCCCTCAGTTTCAACCTTGTGCTCATCATCACTACTACCCTTTGCTTCTCTTGCCTTTTCTTTCTCCACCAATAGTTTTAACTCGTCCACTGTCCTCTAATCGCTCTGATATAGTTAATAGCATCTCCCACCACAGATGCTATATCTCTTTGGTTCGGTTTCCCAAAACAAACAGAACAAATCAATCACTCATTCTACTTTCTTTATACTCAAAGACATTAGCTTTAATTATGCTGGGTTTAAAAAAAGATATTTTTCTCAAAGTTTACATTTTCTTAACGTTAAAACAACCTTTCCTAGAAAAAAGACATTTTAAACAATTGAAGAGTTACTGTGAAATAGAAAAAGCAGGAAAGAAAATGTCTACAATTTGACAGAATCTCAACAGTATAATTTACTCAAAATGTTACCTTGGAGGGGTTTGGGATGAGTTCTTTCAAAGCATCAAATTTACTACTCAAATCCCTCTCCTTTGTCCTCACTAGGGGTACTGGGTAAACCTGCTTGGTCCTTTTCCCCCCTCTCTTTTTCCCCACATCTTGAGTGAACTCCCCACCCCATTCCAAAATCTTGGGTAGGCAATTCCACTGCCTTCTATGACACCCCCTCCTCCAAGGCAAATCATTTCTCAGAGCTGGGGGATGTGCTTGCAGGTTGATTGCAAGAAAGGGTCATAGGAAACAGATGAGACGTTTGTGCTGTCTGCTGTTCCCATAGGACCAGAGAGTTTCGGAAGATTGCTGCTTTGGTTTTCAAAGGTCATTGGCAAGTGGAGAAGTTGAGGAGATCTGGTGTTGTGTGGAATAAGGAATTGGTGATCATGGTGACCCCTCTCAAGTGCGGAGGAGTGAGTGGGGAAAGAATAAAGCTCTCACATGAACCATGGTTGTTCACCACTTGCACAAACTGGGGGTTTCAAGTTATTAACTTGATTGTATGAGTTTTGTTGAGGGTGTGCAATGATTTCATAGCAACAGCAGAAGCATCTTCTCCACTGAATTGTGTAGGCTAAGTTTTCCATCCCCAAGGGTGTTTTGGGCTCATGCTAGTCACAGACATAACTGCCTCTGATTTTGAAACCATCTGGGAAAAACAGTCTTCTGCCACCATCCCATTCGGATCAAAGCACTACTTTCTTCGTACATGTTTGGACCACCCAGTGATTTTGATCTTTGCCTCTACAAAGAAAAGGTATAATTAATATAACATAGGAACTAAGGCAGCTTATAGAAAACAAAAGGGTCAATAAATTACTGATTTTTTAACTTCCAAAGTTTCACAAAATTTCATAAAAGTGAGAAGTTTTCTATAAGAGTGGTTGTGTGGGGGACGTGTATTCTCTTGGTGGTTTTGAGGTTACACAGACTGTGAAGGCTTTTTCAAGTGTACTGAGCAGATACCATACATGGAATGGTGTGAGTGAGCCAAATGACCAAAAGGGTCTCATTCTGTTTACTGTTCTGCAGATTCCCGTCATGTGGACCCCACCTAGTGATCTCCTCCTTATTGTTTCAGATGCAGACAGCACCAGCGCAAAGATGTTCAGCTTTTTTATTTTTCTAATATCAAATTTATATTAGATGGAATGTATGATATTAATATTGCAATATAAAAACACAATCACTTTCCTGCCAATGCCTTATGCATGAGGTACCTACAAGAAAGCAAGAATGTGACACTGTTTTGCCAAAACTGCATAATTTGACCATGGGATTATGTTCACCAGTACATGGATCATTTAACATTTAATTTGCATGATTGAGAACAATGGTGAGCGTAGATCCACCAGGATGAACTTAATGTGGCAGAGTGTTTTAGTTGCACAATTCTAGGAGATATTTGGGATTGTTCTTGAGTTTAATTGTATACTGTGAGTTGCACTGCAACAATAATCACTGCATAATTTGAATATAGGTAGTTGCATGTGTTTGTCTTGAATCTTGCTGTAGTAGACTTAGGTTCACCAGTATTGTACAATACTATACTATGCATAGCTTGTTCTTGCGTGTTGCTTTCACATCTTATACAGTTTGACCTCTGTTCACATTTTATCGTGGCACCAAGTATGACAATTGCATGAGTCAAGAATCAAACGTAGAGATGTGGATTTCAACGAAATTTGGAATGATTTAACGTTAAGATTGATGAAACTAAACTTCAATGGAATGAAAGGCACGATTGATATATGCAAAGTTTATATAAAAAAATCTAGTCAAGTGCCAGGAGTGGTGGGAGAAGACAAAAATGTCATGTGCAAAGTTGAGGATATTGTCATAGGACGAAACATACAAATTCATTGTAGTTGTGCCACAATTTGAATGATATTTTTTATACTCAGTGATTTATTTGTTTAAAATATGTTATGTAGAGAGTTAACTTTCAAGGTACATGAGATAAATTTTTTCAACCGAATGATATAGTTACCATAAGAAAAGGGGAAATTTAAGAAGGAAATATCTTCAGCAAATAGATTGGAGAACTTCAAATAGTTTATATTTATTATATAAAAAATTATTTGGCAATAAAAAACAATAGAATAATATTAATATTTTAAGCTACAAAATAAAAAAAAAATATAATTAAAATATTAATATGGTAGTTGTGAAATGATTGTTTTGTCTTTTTATAGTCTCTACAGTGAAATTTGTGGCTTGGTACGGCAATGGCAGCGGAATTGTAGTAGTTTTTGTTAGAAAGTACTTAACACGGGAGTATGACCCATTAGTGAGAATTTCATTAAACATTGGAATAAAATCAATCTTATTTCATCAAAACAAATGGAGTTTTGATATAAAAAAGACAGAAAGAAAACATACTAAACAACCAGACAAAAAAACTAGGGTTTGATGACAGCAACGTAAGGTTGCACTGCAGAACCTATCCACAAACTTCCATCATGTTCTTCCACTTCACTAACAGAGTTAAGCTGTTGTCCATATCTTCCATCCAACACCTCAACAACATTCCCCTCTGCATCAAATTTAATCGCCACGGGATCTGTTGTCCACGGAACCGTCGCTTCAACTTCTGTTTCCTTTTCCAAACCATTGATCCTTCCCCTCCCGCTGTTAAGTGCCACCCAAAATTCCCCTTTTGCGTTCCTCTTTATGTTATCTGGGGAACGCGGAACCTGCGCAAAAGTTTCTATGTTGTTGCCGCCGCACAGCGCAATTTTTAAAATCTTAAAAGTGGTTGATTCCGCCACCAGAATGAAGGAGCTGTCCCTGCTCAGCGCCACACCGTTGGGGAATGCCAAACCTTTCACCAACACATACACTCTTCCGCTACTGGGCACGTATTTCAGCAACCTTCCAGTTCTGTCCCCGCTCAGAATTATCGACATGTAGACCCTTTTTTTTTCACAGAAAGCACAACACTGATCACTCACAAAGCATTCGAATTTAAGAAGTTAACATGGATTGAGAATTTACCTTCTCTGGAATAGGATGCTGCTATCTGTGAAATAAACTTCACCAGTTTTGGGGTGAATGTCCAAGGCATTTGTGAACATAAACGGAACCCCTTCTGCAGAAGTGGCTAACTGCTTAGCCACGCCACCAGCTGGTCCTACCTTGAGAAGCCCAAAGTATGCATCTGCAATGTACAGATCACAAGTCACACTGTTGAATTTCAGACCCAATGGTCTTCCACAGATTGATTCCATGCTTTCGTCTGTTAACCCATCACACACTTTCTTGTCCCTGCATAATCGCATCACAAGTAAGAAAAACACTGAGAATTTTACCTAAACTGTTAGAATATTGCCAATGTAATACTTTTTAAGATGTTAGAAAGAATAACCTTGTTGCCAACTATAGTTTTCTTTAGTAAAAAAATTAACAAATGAAATCTTATTCTATCAAGAAGTGTTAGGGAAAAAGTTTAACACAGTTTTTTAAGATTAAAATATTGGTCNACATTCTTTTAAATACATAAAGTAAATGCATTATCTAAGGAGTTTAACTTGTATCAAATACCTACTATAAAAATGTATTCTTAATATACATTATTATGCTTTAAAGTATTTGTTTAGATGTACTTAGAGAGCAACAAAATTTTACGCTTATTAATAGTGAAGTATCATAATACTTAAACACACAACTTTTATGGTATTTATTTTCGGAATTGTATCTAAGGTATGCTTTAAGAACTTTTTATCTACATATTTTAAGAAGAAAAAAATACTGAAAGCTTTTTGTAAATATTAGTTTTCTGACATTTAATCTCAGAACCTGAACTGCACAGCTTTAAACTTAGTTTTTTTTTTTAAAACAAGTCATATTATACGTACTTCAAATAATATTTCTGCAAGTTCTTATAATTTAATTCACATTTCAAAAGTATCTCTAACAAATGAAAAAAAAAATCTTTAAGGAGAAAATATTTTTATTTATTAATTTTCTAAAAGCCTTGTTTGCGTAATTATTTAATTTAAACGAAGTTATCTATATTATCCCATCTCTATGAATAATTTTTGTTATTAACATTTGTTATTATCACATCATTTTAGCGGTGATTACCCATCATAAGTCTCATCACTAAGGTCATATACATTCCATTATCATCATAAAACAACAATCATATTAATAATAATAATAATAATATATTATTATTATTATTATTATTATTTTTCTACAACTATTATTTTTATAACTATGTTTATTATAACTATATTATTATTACTTCTATCATTACGTATTACACTTATTCTTGTGATCATTATAATTATTATAATCATTATCATCATATTATAATTATCATAATTCATATTATCACTAATGTGATCCTGCTAATGACTATCACCATTATTGTATACTTTTTTATGACAATACTCACTAAATAATTCATAAATTAATATTTATCTTACTTTCTTATACCATAGTTTTATACATCCTTATATTTTATCAGATATTGAACAATAAAATCGTCTAAACAATATATATAGTACACTTCATTGATTCAAATAACCCATTATTAGTTTGCTAAACTACAAACCAGTACTGCACCATTATATCACAGAACTGGTCTCATATCTATATACCAGTGGTTGAACACATTACATTATATCATTACCCAAAAAAATTACATTTAACAAGCTCCCATAAACCCTTAGTTAAACAAGTATTTTGTGGTTGTAGTAAAGATGCAAATTTGCATGGGAGAGTGACATTTTTTCAAGGTTTTTTTTTGAGAAATAATTATTTTTAGGATATTTGAATTTAATTAGTGGACTAAAGGAATTGACAGAGTGATTCATTTATGAGTGGGGTTAAGAGAGGGTGAGGCAGAAGACAGCAATAATTAAATGGAGGAATGAGGGTGAAATTGGTATTGTCCATTCCTAATAAATGAGCATTTATATAATTGTCTATAACTGAAAACGATGGATAACTATCAACAACAAAAAGAAAATCCTAAAGCTAACCTACACAGCCTGGCTTCCACATCAACTTCCCCCTTTCATACAAAAACAATAATATCAACACCAACACTAAATCTTTATTTTCGGAGGAATTCTTGTTTCATCTTATACACCTTCCAAACTGTTTTTTTCAACTTCAATTACTTCTAAATAGAACCAATAATTACTTTTTTATTTATTTCAAAACTGCCCTAATTTTCACTACAATGTTATCGTACTTGTTATAGAAATCAACTTTTATGGTTTCTAGAAAAAAACAATTTTTTTTTCTATTTACTGACACCTTTTTGAAGTGGTTTAGGATTACACATATTTGGAGTTTCACACAAGGACATGATTGTTATATAAACTATTACTCACTCCAACTAAATTAAACTCGAAACCGACAAAAACATCTTCGTGTTAGATGATCACGTTTTATAATTCTATTTATGTGTATTATTTATAGGAACCATGAGCATACACATATGGTTTTCAAATAATGCAGTGAAGATAGTGTAAAGGTAAAAAAAATGAAAAATATTAAAATAAATTCAACAAAATTCAAAATTTGTCACTATAATTTACTCTATTATATAATATATCAAGCAAGAATCTAATATAAAATTATGAAATAGTTATTGTAGATTGATGATAGTATAACATTATATTGTATTGAATAATATATCACATAAACTAGAATTGAAGTAAGTTTAGTTCACAAACTTGTATGCTGAGAAAGGATTTTGCTTCATTGTTCATAAATAAATAGTTAAATAACAACAACAATTTGTATGCAGATAACATGAGGACTTTCGTTAATGGAACTAACGGTTGTCGTCTCTTTATAATAGAGTATCTCTGATACTCTATATAATATATTTATTTAAAAGAAATAATAAAATTTAACAATTTTAAGTAAAAAAATTCAAACTCTGTATCAATTTTCTTAATTATCTGGACCAGCTAGTGACCACACAGATTTTCTGTTGAACAGTGCTCTTGTGTTTTTTCAGGACATGTTCAAAT